GTCATCCAAGCCGTTTTTGATATATACAATTGTTTTGAACCCACGTGTTTACTGCTATGGGAGGCAGGCTCTTCGTCATAGCTAAATACTGGTATTTCACTATTTACAAACTGCAAAGTAACTATGGAAAGTTACTTGACTGACATCAATTTCAAGAACAACGCAAGCCCGAAACACCTAGTTCCCAAATATATTCATAGCTTTAATTAGTAAACATAATAACTGAAAAAGTCACACAATAGCCTTAAGTTAAGAAATTTGACAGGGGGGCAATTTACGAAACTAGCCTCTGCCAACTTAGAAGGGTTGCCTCTAGGTTTGCTGCCATCTTCAAATATGGCCGTCGTGGGTTTAAAAGTTTGGGTCATATTTCGTAATGTCTCGATTCATTAATTATGATGTAAAACTCAGACGGTCTCAAGTTTTATAATTTATAATTAAAACTTTTAATCAGATATCCTCTGTTGGTATCGTTACGTATAATTCAGAATTCGGAATAACACTATTTTATTACGTTTACTGTTAAATTCGGATACGATCTATAATAATAATAATAACAATAATAATAATAATAATAATAATAATAATAATAATAATAATAATAATAATAATAATAATAATAATAATTGTAGCAATTTAGCAAATTGTAGTTAAATAATTACGAGAGAAACGCTTTTTTCTCTCATTTGTCTGGCCAATGCAAATTACATTCCGATTTGTCACAATGTACCTTCAACTTAACATCACCTATTTCGTAGAGATATCGTATACAATTCTCCAATGCTAAAGTTACTAGATTTAATTCGTTTGAAGAAGCATCTACCGACAAATCGTATCAATCAGCCAATCTAAATATATATCAACATGTCTGCCTGTTTTTCAGCTTTTCAGTCTTCTATTTTCCTCAGTTTATTTCCCTAGCTATTCCACATCGCTGTTTATTATTTGTCTACTTGTCGACCTCTTTCCCACTTTATCGTTTAACATTTTATTTCTTTTAGTCGTCCATCTATATCCCTATAAGTTTGTATGTCCGTCTGTCTGAATAGCTATCTATGCTATTTTTAAAACGTAAATTTATTTATTTTTAGACCTCTTACTGATTATTTTTCTGCTTAATTCAAAGAAGTCTTTAAAAAGGCGTGCAGAACAGCACTATATATTTACTAAACAGCTTTTGGACTTTCAAATGTTTTAATCCTCCACTGCGTTTTCATTTTGAAATACGCATTAACCTGCATTTCATTTTAAATATTCTTTAATCCTGCATAGCATTTTGAAATACACATTAACACTGCATCGCATTTTCAAATAAGACAAAAACACCTTTCTAAACCAGGATATGACGCATCAAAACAAAAACTTTGTATCGAATGTGAAGTCTTCGTGTTATAGGTGTTACCCCAAAATTTCCTTGTTTCTAAAAGCTACTACGTGACATCACTCGCGAGTACCGATTATAACAATATGTATCTGTTAATAATTTGAAAGTTTGTCTCAAATGTTTGTCTAGCTATACACACTGTTGGAATGTATGATAACTTGGAAAGATACACACTGCTGGATGGATGGAAACATTAGAATACACAAACACACCATACTATCAATCTACAAGGGGAAGAAATACCAAGTCAAAAGCAGATAAGGAACGTCCAGTTCCTAGTCGTCCGCTCAGGTGACCTAGTAGTATGAGCGTTCGCCTTTGATGCGGGAGGTCGCGGGATTGAACATTGGCAATGATTTTAAAAATGGTACTAATAGCTGCATTGTTAGGCGCTCATAATTAAGAGGTTAGTGTTAGGACTGGTCGGCCTGGTGTCAGGAAAATGTGACGGGGTGGGTCATGAGGCTGTATGTCTGCGGCATGATGCCCCAATGTTACGTTACACATCACTATAAACTGCCACACTGCAGACATCGTACCTATATGACTGAAAAAATGTTATTGCTACTACAAAAATTTACAAATCTCTCTCTCTCTCTCTCTCTCACACACACACACACACACACAAACTTCATATTCACATAGAATATAATGATCATTACCATATGCAATGATTGAAATATACAGTGACACATCTACTATACTCCTTTAAAATTAGCAACAAAAAACCTAGCCTACCAATACGATTCTAACAATTGGATTATATTCTTTCAGTATCTTTCAATAGCTTTCGTGTTAGTTCCAGGTTAATCCAATCTTGAGAGAGATTTAAGTAACTGGACTGTGTCTCCATGCACACGCCATTTTTGCCGACACTGAATTTCAGGGCATCTACGCAGGCAGTGCCGGATTTAGACAAAGCGACTTCCTAAGCTCTGGGAAGCTATAGAGGCCATATTTGGTATAAAATAAATTTGAGGGGGCCCTTCAGACTGAGTCCAGATTTTGACGCCCTAATCTGTAGCTTGTTTAGCTTATGCCTAAATCCGGTAGGCTACTGTTAACGCAGGCATACGTTCCAGACTGCACTTACAGAAAGAACATAAACGGTTTTCATACCGGGGAGGGACCCTACCAAGGTAAAACTTCCTCGATTCTGCTTCACCTTTCTTTACCAAGGACGGAGTTCACTAAAATTGCTAATTGTGCCCATATATATATATATATATATATATATATATATATATATATATATATATATATATATATATATATATATATATATATATATATATATATATATATTGCTTAGAATTAGTAGCCTTAACTACTGTTTTCAGTAAAGGACTTTCTTGCAATGTGCTAGCGCAGTCAAATAAAAGATATTACCAGATTTGGGATTCTCGACAATTAGCGCTAGACATATGTATGTGCTTTTTGTTTTTCGAACATGTAGATACAAAATACCCTATGTTTGGTCATTGATCAAAACATAACTAAACTATGTAAACTGGAAACCACGTACCGTTAGATTACCGTATACTAGAAACCATGTAAAATTAGATTACCGTATACTAGAAACAATGTAAAATTAGATTACCGTATACTAGAAACCATGTAAAATTAGATTACCGTATACTAGAAAGAATGAAATATTAGATTACGTATACTAGAAACCATGTAAAATTAGATTACCGTATACTAGAAACAATGTAATATTAGACTACCGTATACTAGAAACCATGTAAAATTAGATTACCGTATACTAGAAACACTGTAATATTAGATTACCGTATACTAGAAACAATGAAAAATTAGATTACCGTATACTAGAAACCATGTAAAATTAGATTACCGTATACTAGAAACAATGTAATATTAGATTACCGTATACTAGAAATAATGTAAAATTAGATTACCGTATACTAGAATCCATGTAAAATTAGATTACCTTATACTAGAAACAATGTAAAATTAGATTACCGTATACTAGAAACCATGTAAAATTAGACTACTTTAGCTGACACCTCTTAGACTCATCCCATCACATCTTGCTTTTTAAGGCTAAGAATTGACACCCTGTTTTCACAAAATATGTCTTTTTTGTGTGTGTTTTTCCTGTGTAGATTGTTTTTATTGCTTTTGTTTCTCATTTTTATAATTTTGCAGGGTTGCTTTTTTGGTGCTAGTCATGTTTTGTGGTTTCTTTATACCATTTGCCAGGTTTGAGGTGTACTTTCTTCCCATGCTGGCATTGGGCATGGGTTCTATCCCTCCCTCGGCTTATTGTTTAGGTCCATACTCCTTCCTTACTAGGATTTTAAGTTTGTGAGTCCGTTTTCAGCCTTTTTTCCCATTTTATATTTTCGCGAAGTGACCTTGCCAGGGTCAATGTAGAGGGAAACCGCGTCCTATAATATTACTGAACACTAGAAACCATGTACTGTTTGATTTATGCTGATGAGGTGATCTAAGTAAAAAGCAGCTGCTGAACGCACGTGACGATTGGGTGTTAGCTGGGTTCATACAATGTTACATTTCAGCTTGGATTAAGTCCGGGATCTTCGCATAAAGCTAGCAGTAAAAATGGATGATCAATCTTAAATATGCATGCACATGTTAAAGCTATTGTAATATCGCTCAATCTGATAAGATTGCAACGTAGCAAATATGGCCTGCCCGATAATTCTACGAAGGATACTTTAAAATAAATGTAATTATCATTTTGTGAACGTGTACAAAGTTTGCTTGATGTAAAAGGTGGGCAATGGATCTTTACTTCATTGTACTTAAATTCTATCAACACCGCTAACACATGATTGTGAAACTTTTCAAACCAGTCTGGCTTTGAACTTAGGACTTATAAGTTACCACATATCTATACACTATTTTTTGTACTATGTGCGGAGATTATATTCAACTGCGTGAAATATACCTATTTAATATGGTTTAAGTATATCTTCAGGAATTGTAATTCTATGGAATTTTTTAAGGTAAAAGACAATTTTGTATAACTTCAGAGTCCCACTAAAGATTGTTATTGCTTATAAATTTTGAAATTATGCAGAGACCACATCAAATTTCCCAGACAGTTTTAATAAATAATCCTTCTGGTTTTAAAACTTCAAAAATACTTTTGTTCAACAATATTTAGCAAGGCTCAGTGGACTCGCCATTTGTGAATGTTATGATCTCAAACTGTTTTCCATAACGTGGGAATATACTATACAGGTTCATGATTTATGAAATTGGTGTTACAAAATAAAATCGAAACCCTAAAATGAGTGATGTCAATCATTATTTAAATTATATGAAAATTTAAATCATGTGTGGGGGCCTCAGAGTGACCAATTGGTCTAAAGCGCTTACCGTTACGGATCACTGCCATCTCACCTCTGTCTGCGTGGGTTCGAATCTCAGACTCGGCCAACGTGTGTATATGAGAAAGTTTGCCAGTAGCTTTTTGTGGGTCGGTGTTTTTTTCAGGGTTTTTCCTGCGTTCTTCCCACACCATTCATATTGACCGCAATGTATAACCTATCTTGCTCTGAAAAATGTTGTTAAGCCATACAACATTTTTTTTTTTGGGGGGGGAGGAATGATCTTCTTTCAAGACGACTGCTCCGGTAGCCTAGTGGTTAAAGCGTCCATCTAGGATGCGGGAGACCATGGGTTCGATCTCCGGCCAAGTCATACCAAAGACTTACAAACAAGCATTAAGAGGTTAGTTTAAGGACTGGTCAGCCTGGTATCAGGAAAATGTGACTGGGCGGGACATTGCTACATGTTTGCCACATGGTGCTCCAGAGCTAAACATCACTATAAACTGCCACACTGCAGACATCGTAGCGATATGACTGAACAATTGTTAAAGTTACGTTAAAAATCTAAATCACATCACATTCAGCAAGACGAACATTGAATGTAGAAAGGCAAAAGTATTTAGCTGTCCATGCCCTGTTATATATAACGAGTAATATCATTGCCATTCATCTTCAGTTAATAATAATTATAGCATAAACATATTAGTACTTGTTTCTCATTCGTTTTGAAAACATTCAAAGCTGAGCCGAATTAAAAAGATCATTTTTAAACCAGAGCATAATCAGTATTCTTCTGTTGATTAGAAATTCTTTATATTTCAAGCACGTGTTTTTTTGGGAAGCATTTAAAATAGGTGCACATTAGAAATTACCCGGCAGAAACGCCCGATACTCATGCAAGCAATCAGAAATATAATACCCTATTAATGATATTTAATCAATCTAAAGGTGTATTTTTGTCGTAATTTATGTATAATGTAAATACATACAAGCAGTTGTCTTTCAGTTTTGAGTAAAAACACCCAGATATCATGACACCGGGCAATTTAAAAAAAAAAAAACGATTGGCTTATAATAAATTGAAATGTGCTCGTGACAGGTCCATTATGAGTTAAATAACACACCCCAAATTAACACTTCAGGTGTTAGAAGCTCAGGAATCATTTAATCTTTCGCACAATAAGATCAACATAAATTTAATTGTCTCTATATTAAGCAGAAGAATCCTGGGAAGGGAGTATATGTTTTGTCAGGAAAGGAGAGCCGATGTAACGTTAAGCAATAATGTGACACAAATGTATAATCCTTTTTCGTCCATCCCCATCTCTCTCTCTCTCTCTCTCTCTCTCTCTCTCTCTCTCTCTCTCTCTCTCTCTCTCTCTCTCTCTCTCTCTCTCTCTCTCTCTCTCTCTCTTCCACCTTCCTGTATACCTGTCTGTCTGTAGGTGTGTCCGCCATGTCTATGAACCCCACATATCAAAATTTCACATGTGGAATACGTTAGGTATACAACATGTGGTCTATTCTACACCCCAACGCGCTACAATCAAAGGGTCGCGTGTTCGATACCAGTCCGGTCCACCCAGGCTCGGCCGAGTCTCTACGTCCTAGGAAAGGCATTTCCTTCTGCATGATATCGCCAATAATAAGTACAGCTAAATGGAGAGAAAGCAACCAACCAATTATCCATCTATTTGTCTATTCTGTTCTGGCTGAAATCTAATTATTAGGAAAAAAGATAAGTCACTATATATGTCCCAAGGTCGTTAAAAACAACTTATGTATCAGGTGCAAGATTTCAAAAGTGACTAATTCAATATTTATCTTCTGCTAATCAATCAGCAATAAAATCGATAAAATGTAGAACCAGCAACTGATGCAATTATACCAGTAATTATGAAACTTTAACATATGCCTATGATCTTGTAAATTAATGTAAGTTTCTGTATGCATAGGTTTATATCATCTTTGTGTGCAGGAATATTTCTATCCAATTCATTATTTTTTTTATCAATTTTTTAAATATTTTTTAATTATTGTTCAAGCAATTTACCAACTTCAAACACTGGATTGACGTGGGATAAAAACGTATTAGGATTGGACAGGTAAGTATCATTAAGGATTACTGTACTCTCTCTTCTCTTAAAGTACAGTTTTGTATCCTAGAATATTATTGAAACACCAACATCTAACCTATTATGTGATAAATACATAATGGTTTCCTGCTGTTGTTAACTCTACTTCAAAAGAAAATGGCAGGAGACAGGAATAATTATTTGCGTAAAGAGTTTAGCTTTTGTTTTGTATTGCATCGCGTGACGTATTAATATTCTGAATAAGAACGCTTAATGTTGAATCACACAAATGTGAAACAAGATCAACTTTGCCAATGCGAAATTAGGATTTTCGTGAAGTGCAGTTATTGTGTGATTAGAGAAAACATAGTTGTTGTATTCGCGCGTTTAAAAATCTTTAGGTTGACGTCAATTATTATATTCAAATCCTTAATAAAAGGGGAAAACTATAGACTTCAAATCATGCTAATGCAGGTGATTCATTCTCTCGGTAGAGAGACCACTTGCGCTTAACGACAGTAATGGAGAATGCACTCGCAACATAAAAGGTCATATGCTTACAAGAGGAATTAACATTTCGGCCGCCATCTTGAAATTATGGCACAATGCTGACATGAGGAAGTTTACACTAATCCATAGGAGTAACATTACTATGTCTGTATGCTGACGAGGAATTTAACATTACTCTATAGGATTAACATTAATATGACCCTGTACTGACATGAGAAACTGGACATTAGTCACATGCATTACATTTGTATGGCCTTACACTGACAAGGGATCTCATCACTAGTCTATAGGATTAACATTTGTATGGCCTTACACTGACAAGAGAACTCAGCACTAGTCTATAGGATTAACATTTGTATGGCCTTACACTGACAAGGGAACTCAGCACTAGTCCAATGAATTAGATTGTTTCGGACAAAATCGTAGTGAATGGATCAAATCATCACATAGAAGTAGTTATTGCTTAGGGTGAGCCGTAAACTGACTATATTTTTATTCTAAGACAAGAGTTTCTGAAGATGAAAGCTTTTTAGAACGGGCATAAAGTCTATATAGATTTCATGGAAAACTTTAATTATAATGGGGGACTTTCAGGAAAATTGAGACTTTAATTATAGTGGCATTGACTTGACAAATTAAACATGCATTTTGGGAATATGTTAGAATCCCAGAGCGCCATCTACTGGTTGATTTTATGAATGAACATATCTAAGAACAAATAGTAGAGTTTCCAAATCTTTAAATAAATGTCCTACACCTCTTTTCTGACGTCAATAACAGACAAGTTCTTACACAGTAGTGCGTAAGATTGGTTTTGTGAAGATGATGTTATAGTTTGATCCAGGTCTATACAAGTTTCAGAAAAACAAATCGTAGAAATTGTTTTTGTTTACCAAGGTGATACATTCGGGTTCAAAGGACACACAAACACCAATTATGGGTCACACAACTTTATTTAAAATAGAGCTAAAATATTCACAAAAGATCACAACCAGTGTTGCTTGCTGTACTAAGGCCAGCTACATGATTGCCTGCTCTCCCACTCTACTTTTGTTTAAGTAAGGGTTAGAGATATGGGATTTAATAATCAAGCCTTATCATGAGCTGGTTCAGGCTCAGATTAACAACAGGACTGAACCTGATGACATTCTCTGATATCAAATATCCAGAATGCTGGGATTAACGTTCTTTATATCAAATATCCAAAATGCTGGGATTAACGTTCTGATATGAAATATCCAGAATGCTGGGATTAACGTTCTGATATCAAATATCCAGAATGCTGGGATTATTGTTCTGATATCAAATATCCAGAATGCTGGGATTATTGTTCTGATTTCAAATATCCAGAATGCTGGGATTAACGTTCTGATATCGAATATCCAGAATGCTGGGATTAACGTTCTGATATGAAATATCCAGAATGCTGGGATTAACGTTCTGATATCAAATATCCAGAATGCTGGGATTATTGTTCTGATTTCAAATAAATAAAGAAAATTCTGGGATTAATGTTCTGGCCAACTATCGCTGCTAACAGGTCTAATCTGATAAAGGCAATGAGAGTGAAATCACAAAGAAATTTCGATGCAACTAGATACGAAGTTAGTACCTTTAGAAGCGTCCTTTATTTAAATGCACATAAAAGAAGTGAGATTTTGATATAAACTTTAACATTACAAAACATTTCTAACTATTGCAGTTGAAAGAAATGTAGTATACCAGTTGTTTTGATGTCCTCAGTTACAAACAAAATTAGAGAAACAAACCATATGTTAAATCAACTTGTACCGGCAGTAAAATATTAAGAACAAAACAGAAACTGTTAAGAGGTGAAAGTACAGAAACTGTTAAAATGCATACTAAATACACGTCAACAAAAGTTTGGAAACCTCAGATTCGAAATTATTCTGGAAATACATTAACAGGAAACATAAATATTTCAAGGGCATTCCTTTGCTTAAAACAGATACCAAATTAGTAAAAATAGATGATGAGAAAACTGAAACATAGTACATCCAGTTATACCGTGTTTGTACCCACTTCAGCGATATGGCGTGATCAAAACTAGCATAACATACTAACTTAGCAGTAAAGTGTTCAGGAGTTAAGGCCCCTCTATATCAGTTAAATCCGTCTAAAAGTGCAGTCTTGATGATTCTTATCCACTAATACATAAAGAACTGTCTTCAGACTTTGTATCGGCACTTACGCTCCTCTTTCAACAATATTTGATCAGATGCGGCATCTCGGAGGATCGTCTCCAGCAAATATGTATCCTCTTTTAAAAAAGGAGATTGTCCAATGGCCAATAATTATCGTCTGGTCTCACTCACCTGTGATCTTTGTAAAGCACTAGAGCATTTTGGGTTTCAATATCATGAAGTACTTAGATCATTTGTCTATCATATCTGACAAACAATATTCCTTCTTTAAATTGCAAGTTATGAAAGACAAATGTAATGTGTTATTGATGATTGGGTTAAACAAACAGGTAAAGGTTGCCAAGTTAATAGTTTTGTACTAGAGTTTTAAAAAGGTTTTGACACTGTCCCACGCGAATTGTTAACGAGTACATTATTTCCTTATATAATTGCATACAAAAGTCTACCTGGTTAAAGTCTTTTTTTTCGTTTTAGAAACCAATGTGTGTTTGATAATGGTTAAAAATACCAGGTGGTCTAAATAAGATTTGGAATTCCACAAGGGACAATGCTGGGACCAATTATTTTCGGCTTCCACGTCATTTAAATTATGAATGAAACTGATTAAAAAAATCACCCTC